TTGAGTTGGATGCAACGAGAAAAAATACCGATGTTCCTATGGTTTTTTTTTTTGTGCTTTTGAAGAAATCATAATAACAATTTTATATGGACTCGAGGTATACAAGTACAGTATCATGGGGTTCTTATTCTCAATTTAGTCAGGCAACATCTCTTTTTTTTTTTTTTTTTTTTTTTTTTTTTGTGTGGCATTCGTGGGGCTGTGATTGGTATTTAATTTGTCTGATGATTTATTGGTTGGGAATTGTTTTTTTGTGCGCTGGGGAAACCTTATTGTCCCGCGGAAGTTCCCGGTTTCTGGATGTATGCGCAGAGTTGAGCTTAGCAACAGGAGATACAGTACGAGTAAAGAGAGAGAGGGAGGAGAGTGCGAATGTGTGAATAGACGAGAGATAGCTACCGTAGGTGATGTGGGGAAAAGAAGGGAGAGAGAGAGAGAGAGAGAGACAGCAGATGATGAAAAAGGGAAGGTCACATTCGAATTAATTCACGATCCGAAGGAAATGTTCAATTCGATGTGTGTGGGGTGTGTGTGGGTTTTTGGGGGATTTCAGGATCCGTGATGATGCCTTTGTGCTTTCCTCCCCCTCTTGCTGGATGTGTGCCGACATCCCCCTATCAGATATCTGACAAAGTGCGGCCCGTCCATATTAACGGCTTTTCCACTTGACATTGAAATGGGGTAAAAAAAAAAAAAAAAAGAAATTGACATATATCAAACTATCGTAGACATGTCGCAGCATCTCTCTCACCCTCCTCAGACACACACATCATACATGTATGTACTCTTACATTGGGGATGAACGAACCAATCCTCTCACCCGCATTGCCTGACACATAGACGACGGCTGCTGAGCCAGCAGGCTGGGAAGAGAGAGCTGTAGGGGGAGGGGGCTAGCTGTCTGTGTTGGGCCTCTTTGGCGACGGGGGGCGTCGGGCGTGGACACTCGGGAATCACAGGTATCCCTATTTAGTCTGCTGTACGCATTTCTACCTTTTCTATAAACGATCCGGACGTATACCGGTATATATCAGGCAGAAGAGGGGAAGAAGAAAAGCCGTACTCGAGTAACTTTTGGCATCACCCGAATCCATCCAAGCTTTCAGGTTCGCTACATTTGCCTTTTGGGGGCTACATTTGCTTTCTGGGATTGGGAGAGAGAGAGGGGGGGGGGAAAAAACAAACGGGGAGCTGCGGGAACACATCAATATCGAATCGTAGCCTTACAGCGCCACAAGAGGATTAATCGAAAAATTTAGGGTGTGTGCCTGAGCTGGCTCCTCCTCAGCGGGTGTGTTCAGAGACATCGATTGAGGACATCTGAGACCTTTGTTGGCTGGGGGAACGTCGGCGACCAACTCTACATGGGTGCTGATAATTGGACATGTTTCAATTTAGGACGGTGGTTAAAAAACCGCGTACGAGTACTTGTATGAAGGAGCTGCACTCGTACCTGTTAGACCCGTAAGCCCCTGTCTCTGGCTTCATCACAGGTCGAAAGGATTTGATGTCAATACCGTACGAGTACTCGTACTATAGTATTTTGAAAGGGTCATGCACCCTGAGGCGTCGGGTCTCTCTCTCCTGTGGTTCGTACCATCACGCATTGTTACTCGAGCGGTGGAGGTGGGGGTTACGAACGCAATCTCTGCACTGCGAGTCACTCGCATTCTGACCTTTCGGTTCTTGCTAGTCAACCAAACTCCCATCCCTACTCCAGATCCATGAGGAATGTTCCCACCCATGATTGGCCGGATAGGGGAGATTAATATGATATCTACTGTACCCAACTGTCTGGCATCCGACAATCGACGACACGAACGAATTGGTGGTAAGGCTTGACCGGTTGGCTCTGGTTTTCTTGGTAGCCCTTCTCCCACCCTGCTGACTTCCCCCATCGCACACGCACCCGGTCCCTTCCTTTGCTTTTTTATTTTCCCCCCCCTCTGGGTCATGAACCAGTCAATCGGCAGTTGAGATCTGGACACATTGACCACTTGCCAAAGAGGACGAAACGGTTGCAGATTTCAAGGAAAGCTGAAAAAGCAATTTAATTTCAAGACTCCCCCCATCCGGTATATTCTTGCCCAAAGGGAATAGCGAGTTCCAGTTCGCAAGATAATCGAAAAAAGTAAAAATAAATAGATGATAGTGCTAAAAACAGGTTTGTAAGAGACAGAAGAGACAGCGGGTGTGGCCCAACTCAATCAATCGCTTAACACTAACAAGTAACGGGGTGAAGGGAAAAATAAAAAACCCATTGCTCAAAAGGTCTAATCCTCGATCGCCGGGCGGCAAAAGCAAAAAAAAAAAAAAAAGGATGGAAAGGAATTGTTGGTCTAAAGAAGAATTACCAAACCTAGATCATGGTCCTGAAAAGGTCATTGGAAAAATCTGGCTAGACAGACGGTACGATTTTGTGCTAGGGGGCGGGGTTCAACTTTCGCAGACCCTTTTTGGTCCCATTGCCGTACTACTCCCGGAGTACCTACGCGTATCGTAGATGCCTCCGTAGAGCCTCCTCCGGACGGGACTGTGCTACTCCGGGGATCATACGGGGAGCTATTGGAGGCGATGACAGAGCTCGGTCGGTCTGTACGAGTATGGTATAGTAGCGAGGTAACAGATAGAGTACGTCGGGCGAAGCAAATGTAACTCTAGTCCATCATTGGAGGAATTGTCGAAATAGGAATCTGGTACGGTATTGTACCCCCTTTGCTCGTGCCGGTACTGTACAGTACCAAATATCGGATAGCAAATAGTAGCGAGGATAATAACAACAAGACTAGGGACTTGCACTCTCTATCCACGGTGCGGGGAGGGAAGGAGGCGGCGGAGGGGTGTGGAGGATTGGGGGTCGGTTGTTGTACTCGTACACTGTAATTGGTACGGTAGTGGCAACAATAATCCTTAAAGCTTTGAGCTGTAAGAACCGGGAACAGAAACTAGGATTTCAGGCCGCCTGGTACCGGTATTGTTACTCAATTTTTCTCAACTTTCGCACTCTTCGGCATCCATCCCAAGTATAATATTACTTCTATAATAGTCGCTCCTTTAACCCCATCCCGCGCGTAACTACCCCCCCTGTCGCAAATCACACCCGGTGATCTGGGAGGGGCCCTTCGATAGCACACACCTTTTGTTATCTAGATTTTCACTCTCTCTAGTATTTTATTTTAGCCAAAGAAGGAGGGTTACTCCCACAGGGCCGCTATCCATATGTTTCCAGCTGTGAAGGACCCTTTTGCACAACCTACTATCAATATATATCTTAATATTATTTTTTCTTTTTTCTTTCTCCTGTTCCCTCGCCTCCCCATCTGTGTAGCTCCGACCACACAACCTCTGTATATAAGCTTAGGCTACTCCCGTCGTGAAAATTTTGGTGGCCAAGTCCTTGGATCGAGTTGAATTCTGCACCCTTTACTATCCCAAACGACAAGTGAACACCACATCGCACAAATACACCGCGTCCGCATCCGCATCCGCACCTGTTCCCCATCATTCCCCCACCCCACCCCTTACATACGGGGCTAGAGGAACAGGCCTTCTGCCGTTGCTGCCGCCTCCGCCCCTTCTCTGGGTGGGATTTTCTAACAACTGGTTGACTTACTGATATTTCATACACATTACACATCCCGCATCACATTCACCCCCCCCCCCCTCGATTCACGCATCCAACGCTTTAGCAACTACCAACACACGCACACAACACAACCCATTTCCTCCATCAACTCTAGGCATTTAAAATAAAGTGAATCAATCACAGCTGGGGAGGCCTCTGAAGTAGAAAAGACCCATTCGTGAGACATACGCACGTCACATCTCTCACATTTACAAGTACCAAAGGGAAAAGAACGCACAACCACCGTCCAAACCCCACAGACACGGACACGGACACACCTCTCCCTCTCTCTTTTTTTCTTTTTTTCTTTTTTCCCCTTGCCTGAAAACTACTTCGACGGCAGCGCTAAGTTTTTGAATCAACGGGGACTGTTTTCCGGTTTACGTTTTGGCACTTTGAAGGGAGAAGAGGGAGAGGGGAAAAAAAAAAAATCACGAAGAGAGAGAGGCAGCTTGAATCACAGCCAATATTTTAGTTGGTTTGGGTGATAGTTTTGCCTGAGAAGAGAACGATAAAAAATAAGAAAAAATAGTCACCAGGACGAGTAAAGGAAGGAACAGCATCAGAAACTTTTTGGAACACTCCATATTCCCAGTTTGGCGACGTAGCATAGCAGCCTGCTGGCTAACTGCCACTCTGCTTACCAGGGGATCAAGAGGTTTTTTGATACGCCAAGATAGCGAAGTGGCTTTTTGGGTCGGCTTTCTCTTAAGAAAAGGGACCTGTGGATTCTTTTCGATTTTTATTTTATTTTTCTACCCTCTATTTTACACTTTGTTGCACCAATTCGCCCAACTGGCAACTAAGCTGTTACCGCTTGCAGCCTTGTGTGTACAAAAAGGAACCTGGACAAGCTTTGCCAGCATTCACAAAGGCCCCTCCGCACACCAATTACTCGAGTACTAGCTTTCCGGCTCAACGCCTTTTCCCCCCGTAAGTTCTCTCATTTTTCCTTTTTTTTTTTTCTTCTTTCTTTTTCTTCCTTTTTTTTCTCCCATTTCCTTTCCCATGCCTGTGTACCCTCAAAACTCTTTTTATCATATATTCGTCCCCCCCCCCCATCACCCATCCCAAATACCCTTACTCCCCTACCATCCATCCACCCCCCCTGAGTCAAGCTTCTTAGTTAGTACCGTACCCGTTAGCACCCACACATTCACTTCATCTCACTCACTTGCACCCACACTAACATATATTCCCCCCCACCGCCAACTAGGCAATCATTTGAAACCGACTTGATCTCTCTCTCACATCACTTCACTTTCGACATCCCATACATACATACATACATACATACTTAACATAAAATACATACAACAACCTTCACTACATACATACTCGGGCACGCACACACATACATTTACTACTTCACACAATGTTGGGTCTGCAACAGCCACATCGACGAGGACCGTGGTCCGCCCACGAAGACGCCCACCTGCTCAGTCTTGTACAGCTCCACGGACCCCACAACTGGGTGCGAATCGCATCACTAGTGAACAGCCGGACACCCAAGCAGTGCCGGGAGCGCTACCACCAGAACCTGAAGCCATCCCTCAACCACGACCCGATCACACCAGAGGAGGGCGTGATGATCGAACGATTAGTCGGGGAGATGGGCAAGCGATGGGCCGAAATTGCCCGAAGGCTCCACGGCCGCAGCGACAACGCCGTGAAGAACTGGTGGAATGGCGGCATGAACAGGCGAAGGAGGATGTGTCTCCGCCAGAGGTCGCAATCCCACAATCTGGACAGTATCAACACTACCGCCACCACCAGCAGCATCAGTAGGCACTCGGAGGACAACATGAGCCAGTTTGCTACCCCACAGTACTCGCCGGTCGGCAGGAATCTCACCATCGACGTTAGCCGGAAACACCACGACACCCCACTATCCTCACCAGCATACACAGAGAGCTCGAGGGGGCAGACTCCCGGATTGGTATCTGATGCCGCCAGTGCGTTCAGTGTGTCCCCACGCATGCCACCGTCCCCCATGAGTAGCGAGAATACGCTGCCACCGCTGCTACACCCCCATGGTGCACAGCCCCGGCGGACGTCGTTGCCCATCCTGCAGGTCCCCGGGGAGCCTCGTATCCCAGAGTATGATAACCACACGCAATCATTAACTCGACGATATTCCAGTACGAGCAGGGATTTCGAGAGATGCTCTCGAGAATTGCCTTATACAACCTCCTCACTCCCGCATTCTGCCTCTAATCAACACTATTCCACGATGGATTTGAGTTATCACTACCTACGGCATAAGGTGCCGCAATACGACTCTCATCGTGATCCCGTCATCATACGTGATCCAGACTCTGCTCAGCAGGATAGCAGAATGAATCTTGCTAGTATCTTGGGCTGAGGGCCACCGGCTTTTGTGCTTTTTTTCCTTTTTCCCCCCTTTCTCCACACTTCTTTCCTCTCTTCCACTTGTCTCTGGAAACAATCACCTCGTTTTGAGGAAGAGGGGGGGGGCTTCTGATTTCTTCTTCATTTCCAATCACCTTTTTCAACATTCTCGCCTGCATTGGTATTATCTCATTTAGTTCAATTGGCATTTTAATCAATGGGGTTTGTTTCTTTTCTTTTCTGCCTATCTTGAAACGTTTTTGAAAAATACGGGCACGTGGTGGGGTGGGTATTCCATATCATACGGGAAGGGGCTATTTTATTTCATTGTTGGAACATTTTATAGGGATGGTTTATCTTTTTTCTTCATTTTCATTCTGGCTTTTGATCATCTCACCTTTCTGCAAGCTAGCGGTTGAAAGAGTTGGACCCATCTTTTCATATTGTCAAATAGGGGTTTTTCTTCTTATTGTTATCATTCTTGGGCAGGCATGGATAAGGACGGCTGTTGGGTGGGGGAAACAAACTGGGGAACATGGGTGGATTCGAGGAAAGGTCCTTTTTTCTCTTCTTTTTTCTCTTCTTCTCTATTTCATGGTTATTATCCACCTCTTCTGTTTTTTATCACGCCTCCGAAGGGGGAGTGTTTTCTTTTGTTATTCATTGTTAGGGATTAGCGGGTTATTTCTTGCTTTTTATTGGTATTTGGGAAATTCTGGGGGTTATCTTTTTCTCTCTTCTCTCATAGTTCTTTGCTCCATGGTCCTTCATTGCGCTTCCTTTTGTTTGAAGCCTTTTTTATTACTTACTGACCAACATTACTTCATTCGTAATTACTCCTCGCTTTTCCAACAAACCTTTTCCTTTGTTCGATCCTCCTTCATCTTTTTTTTTTCAGCAAAGCGGTATCTATCATAAGGGATTCGGGGGTTTTTGTCTTTTTTCGCTCATCTTTTCCGCTTAAATCGGGGGGAAGAGGTTCTTGAAGAAAAGAAAAATGGGGTTTATTCCATTTTTGTGTATTTGGGTAGTTTATAGGCGTTATCTGGAATGGTGGGGTGGGAAACATCTCACTGATCGGCAGGGGTTCAAAAAGCGGGATTCTTGAAAAGGGTCAGGACACACATGATCACCAGCCGCGGACATGCCACGAGTGCTGGAAAGGGGACGGGATGGGATGGGATGTTGGATGAAGTTGCTGGGGAAGAGAGGGAGGGAAAGCTTTGTGTGTGAGGAGTTAGTTAGGGGGGAGCTTACCGCTTATACCGTACCAATTATTATTATTATTTTGATACTACCGTACTTGCTGTCGCCCGCAGATCATGGCATAAGAACTGCGAACGTAGGAAGATGGAAAAGTAAGAGATGTGGATTGTCATAGCTAGGTCCCCCAGATGTGTACTGTGCTGTACCCGCCGTGCAGTATCATATATGATACTAGACTGATAAATTACCAAACAAGGCATGTCTAGATACGATAGATACAGGACGTAAAAAAGTACTCGTACAAAGTGAATACGAATACCCATCCTGACTCAAGATCCTTTCAGGATTACCGTATCTGTGAGCGGCAGGTATTCGATAAAAAAGAAAAAAAAAGAGCTACCATTTTCCAAATCCAGATCTTGCGTCAGTTGAAACTTTTACGTCGCCCTTTCCACCCTCGCCTATCTGAACCTAACCACGAACGGACTTGAAAAGGCATACATGCTTAAAAGGGGGGTGTGATGTTGAAGAAGGGAGGGAGGGAGGGAGGGAGGGAGAGGGAAGGGGATCGTACGGGTTGATGAGGAAGAGGGAAGAAGAGGGGGGGCGTTGAAAGCTTTCTTAATCAGTATGTTCCTCTTTCGGTATTAGAAAACATCCTTTTTTGATAATTTTCTCTTAGAAAAAAAGAGGGAGGAGGAAAGAAAAAATAAAAATAAAAACCCTGGCGGTGAAAAAAAATAATAATAGATGGGTCGTGATATTATGATAATACTTTGTATAGTATAGATTTGGGAATCGATCGGGGGTCCCTTGACCACCACATCTTCATCATCATCCCCATTCCCTGACAATCCTGACCCGATCAACTAGCTGGTTACTCGAGTACAGGAAGGGGTTGGGGGGCGGGGGGGGGGGGGAAGGTTAGGGAAATTCGGTAAGGAACTTTCTCCCAAGACCCAGTTTTATCAGTTTGATAGATCCTAGGCCCTGCCTGGCGTGTCGATCATTCTCTTAACCTTTTTTTTTTTTTTACTGTCTCCAAGATTTGAAGATCTGGTTTATTCTGGGATTTTTTTTTTTTTTTTGATATAGTTTACTATTTTGTTTTTCTCAAAAAAAGAACCTGTTCTTGATTTCTCTCTCTTTTTTCTTCTTCTTCCCTCTACCAATTTCTGTTTTAGGCTGTGGTAAAAAGGTGTGAAAACCGCATTTTTAAAGCACTTTGTGGTAAATTTAGTTTTGACTGATTGATTGATGTTGTTGGTTTTTCCTTTTTTTTTCCGTGATATGCTAAATATCACTACCCCCTTTTTTATTTATTTACCCTTTCGGTTCTTAACGGACTGGATTGATGATGGGGTGATCTCTTTCTTTCTTTCTTTCCTTTTTTCCCAAAAGCGCTCTTAAATGAATCCCTTTTTCTTGGGCAATTGGCGCTGAGGAGTTGTGTGAAATTGGGAGGAAACAAGTTTCGTGACCTCTCGTGTTACTTACTATATATACAGAGTTCTAGGAATTTTTGATCCTTTGGGGTGATATTGCTAGCTCTACTATTACTACCGGTGCAAGTATCATATCATACAAGTATGATACTACTAACAGTGCTCACGACCTAGCCTTTCTAGATTTCATGCCATAGCTAGCTTGACTAGTGGGCATTCAAGTGAGGATAAAAGGCATGTTTGAGTCAAATGCCGTAATAACTACGGGAGTATTTCTTTTTTTTTTCTTCCCCACCTTTTTTCTTTTGTTTTTTGTCCGTTTTTGTTTTTTTCCAATGCTTGCGATTCTCTTTTGAGAATGTCAAAGATTAATAATTGACTAGTTAGGTTTGGCTTGTGGGGCGAGGAGGGAGGGAGGCTGGCCGGGTTCTACGAACTATCTTGCGATCTCCACCCGGAGAATCCTTTTCCGTGCTCGAGCACAGTACTCGAATCCCCATCGGGGTTTAGGTTTGTGGCCGAACCTACCGTAACTCCCTATCTCTCTCCCTTCTGGGAGGAGTACCGGTATCATGCTTAAGCGGGATGTCTCTGAGTGCACACTCAGGACTTCCCTTCCTCTGGCTTTTGCTTTTGCTTTTGCTTCCCCAGTGTACTAGCACAGTACTCGTACCAGTGTCCCTGGACTTTGCAGCAACGTACGATATCATACATACGGGCAGGTGATTAGAAACTTAGTGGTCTGGTCACCCTTACCCATCATCATATTCCTCCTTTCCCTCTTATGTTTTTCTCCTCCCACCCCCCCCCCCACGGGTTTTCATTGCGTAGAGGTATAAACTCCGTATCCCTCTCTTGTGCGTCCGGGGACAATGTACTTGGAAAGGCTGTCGATTACGGTAAGAGTTTCTATTGCCAATCGGCTTCCGTTACCAAGTAGGAGCGTTTCAAAAAGCAAAGTATCTGACCTTGAGTGACACTTACGTGCTCTATTTGGCAGGGTTGGCCCTTATGAAAATCCTCATAGCACATTTTACAATTTAAATAATAATAGCATGAGGATAATAATAAAAAAAGTAAAGCCGTTGGAGGGGTACGAGGAAAAGTGAACGGCGAACAGGCGAACACCGTAGCAGATCACGGATTCCGAAGGATTTAGGAAGCGATCTCCCCCCCAAACCCTCTCTCCCCCCCTCCGCCTACTGCCTGATGTAATGTGATGCAGAGAGGTCGGAGGAACAGGACGGTGAGAAGGGGTGGAGAGCAGGAGCTTCTGTCAAACGAAAATAAGTGATCTTGATGCAAAGGCCGGCCAGCGCACAACCCGTCCTGCCTTGTCCTGTCTTGTCTCGTTCCCTTGCCCCATCCTATCCGTTCACCACACCCACCCTCTCTTGGTGTGTGAGTGGGTGTGGGTCAAAAAATAAAAAATAGACGTTATTTTTTATTTTTTTCTGAACGGCGAACGCTAGGGATCCTGGAGCGCTCTGGTGGACGTGGACAACAGATCGGGGAGAGAGGGATGGAGAGTTCCCGCTGCCTGTTCTACATACGTACTCGTCTTGTTTTGCCCAGTCAATTGAGATATTCCCCCCGCTCCATGATGGGAAAAACACAGCTGAATGATTAATACCTGCCACCAAACGATAGGCCAGGAATTGCACTGACGGCCGGTGCGTGCCTCCCGTCAACTCACCCGTCAAGATGAATTCGGACTCTGCGTACCGAAATGGATAGTGTGCACACCGCGAAGAGAGAGTTTCCGGAGTGGGGGGAATGGTGTAGTTTCCCTTTTTTCCTTCGTAGAGATGGATGTTGGGAGATGGGGCCGAACTGAGCTACGTACCTCCGAGATCCACAAGGATTTGTTTTCTTCAACCCAGGTCTGGCTGATTGAGTTCTTGGTCTTCGGGTCGTCAACCAGCGGATTTTTTTTTTTTTCTTTCTCCTTCGACTTTTCCCCTGCCCTCCGTGCATTTTTTTAAGCCACCAATAACAAAAGCCAGCCAGTGGAAAGGTTAGTCGCTACCAACTCGGGGTACTTTTGAGGTTTGAATTGTATGTATCATAGTGTCCATCGTCTCCCTTATTTGCTTTGCCGTCCACCCTCGTTTCCCATCGTATGTATTTTAAGTAACCAACATTATATACCCCCCATGAACTATATGATGTTCGTCTGTCCAGTTCGTCTCTGACCGACTGGGATCCCGCGGATTGCGCCAAATGGTTCCACGGTTGGAGCCTTGCTGCTTCGTGCTTCACCAGGGAGAAGGGATAGAAGGCAAGAGTAAAAAAATAAAATAAAAATCGCCGCCCGGGCCCGAAACATGGATCATAGCTAGTCACCCCCCTATCACGGGTCCCGTGCGACCGTGGATCTTATTAATAAATTGCGGTTGTTAAAAAACAATGAGCAAATAGGGCTCGCGCTCCTGCTTTTATTATTAATATTATTGTTTCTCCCTCTGCGCGGTCATGACCGTGTTGGCCGTGGGTAGAGAGGCTCAGTAAGAGCGTTCCGCGCGCGCTTCCTTGTTCTCTTGCTATTGTTTTTCCTTTTTCCTTTTTCCCTCCATTCCCACTGTTCTTTTTTGCCTGGTCTTCCGGAGTTGACCTTCTCACCACCACCCCCCTTTATTTTCTGCCCCCATTGTGCTACGGGGGTGCGGAGTGGTAATGAATAACGCCCGTGAGCACCTTTTTTTCGCATTTCACAAGTTTTTCCCCTGCATTAGTATTTCTTCTTTTGCGGAAGGTCTAACTGACTGAACCCAGTTTCTGGGTTACTGTGCTTTGTCATACCGCCAAGTTGTACTCGCACAGTACGTTGTAAGGCGACAGGATGAACTGAACTGTAACTGTGCCGTACTTAGTCTCCATTTGCGGGATCGGACCACGCTCTAGTGCCCGCTTTTCGATTGAGCGACATGAGAAGATTCGGGAGTGGGAGCGGCAATGTCCTTTTTTTCTTTTCTTTTCCGTTAGATCTCCTTCTTTGTGTTGCTGTTGTGTGTCGTCGGGCAAGCTAAGTTAAGTCCCTACCCTCTTCTCCGTCTGCTCCGACGCGGTACGGATCGTGGGGTCGGGCACTCTGACAAAGCAGGTGGTTGGCAAGAAAAAGAAAAAGCCAAGACTTTGGTACCAACTTTGAGCAGCCACTGAACTTTGCCCCCAACCAAGCCAGTACAACATCTTCGTGAAGATTTTCTGCCTTGGGAAAGGGCTTTCTCCTACGGCTTCAAGAGGGATAGCTGCCAGTGACGAATATAATAAATTCGAGTGCTAAGAAACTGGATTTGAGAGTAATGTTACCACTAGTATAGGCTATAGATTTGCTTTTTTTGTGGAAGCACTGAGAATAGTCAAGGAAGGGATTAGCTGAGTAGGTGGGAAGAGGCCGTGTAAAGTGGCTTTATTTCAAGCCATGATATTTCCCAATACGCCTGAGGCTTTACGGTACTGTAGATGTGGTTGTTAATGCTCGCATTAACAGATGCTCCAGTTTTGGAATCGAGCGATAATAGGAAAGCTTTGCCTCCCCAATGTTTCTGATGGCGGCATCTGCCATTGAGCTCTCTTATCAAAGAATTACGGGGTGGCTGCTCATCTTAAATATGCCCTCGTGATCAAAATAACCCAAATGCAGACTTCAGCCCCTCTATTCCGCTGCCGAAAAAGCCCACTCTGATAATAGAATGCATAAATATATTGATGCAAATTGTAGCCTTAGAACAAACATTCTCGCCTGAGTACAGTTTCCACCGATGCGCTGCACGAGCTTCTTTACTTTGTAGACATTCTTTCACCAAGAACGAGGCAGTTCGCAGTTCCTCCATTGCGATCATCTTCCAAAAAATTGCCCTCATAGTTATGTCAACTAACACCTTCCGATCAAGTCTGCACTCCACACGCCTCTACTTTATCTGCTCAAATCGTCATGCTGGGTGTTTCCATCACCGAAATGTGCTTCATGGTGCTTCAAAAGTGGGTCCAGGTACAGATCCTTTCCTTAGCTATTCATTTTTTTAGTTTTCTCTGGTTTTTTTTTTCGCAAGGGTAGATGGATCGTGTTGAGTGGGGATTCGTGATCCCCATCGGACCTTTGGCGGGGTTACATCTCTGGTCTGGTCGAGGAGAGGTTCTGGGAAAACCGTGTGCAATTCCCATTGATTATAGGGAGTCATGCGCCTAAGAAGTCGTAAGCAGGACTTAGACACTTAAGTTCCTTTCTTCAGCCATGGGAATAGATGGAGGAATGACCAAACTGCGGAGGATCTACAAGGCTTATAAGAGGGGTTGGTAAGACCTTTTTCTGTTTCTGGCAGTATCGCAGCTTGGATATGCACCACCACAACCACAGTCATCACCATCACTCGATCTCATCGTTACACCCCCACACCTGATTCGATTATGTAGTTCACCTCCCGGTTGTGAGTGAGTGTTTCGTTGTTCAAATTTTTTAAAATTCTCTGGCGGCGGGGTGCGGGGGCCTGTCGTACTGGTGATGGCAATGTCTTTGTTGGCGAGAAGTCCGAAGTATTCGCACAGTACACCACTGGGATTGTATCATACCTTAAACACCTTCCTCTTCGTCATAGGCTTTTTTAAGAAAGCTTAGCTTACTTCTCCTCAGACTTTGAGTTTCGGACTTCATCCCCTAGCAGGAATCTCGGCGTTGAGACTAATGTGTTTCATTTTCCGCGGGCTGTTCATCGCTGACCTAAAGCTAACTAGGCACGGCGCATAACTCAGCATCTGGCAGCGGCCCCGGGAAACCTTCGGCCAATATCGTAGCGATACTAGAGAAAGCTGGTAGGAATCGCCCTCATAGTATAAAAATTTCGTAGTGGTGACCAATCTCAAACACTTTTAGTTTTGTTTTCTGCGGGGCATCAGTGGCATGATACATCTTGAGAATGGATGGGGAACGATAGTTTTAATGCTATTTGGGCCATCACACCTAGAGTTTGATACTACATTTCTGGGGCACTCAGCTAACAATTAATGCATTGGTCGTGTTCCATCTAACCTGCGGTATAGGCGGTGGGCTTGCGTGTGCGTCATGTGTGTTCCTCCGGCTCTATTGGTGCTGGAAGTCGCAAGACTAGGCATACTCGGCTTCTAAGTTAGACATACTCGGTGAAGGTGAAGAAGCTGAGACATAACTAAACCCAATGACTTTGGCGGGCGTGGTATTAGTACCTTGGCATCAATAATGCATACTGTAATCTTAAAGTTAATAGAGGTTCTTGGCTAAGGCTTACCCAGGCTTTTCTTCTGATGCCGGGGTTTTGTAAACAGTCTACAATCGCACCATACCGGTACGGTATTGCTTATGGTCCCTGAACTTTACTACACCGGATACCAGCTCTTGTTTTGGCACTTGACAAACTGAGAAGGGAATTGGCTTGGCGGATGTTGTTAGCAAGCCCATGATTAGATGAATAAGCGATCGACTACAGCTCTAGTTTCTGGTTTGATAGCTTAACCTTATTAAATTTACGCACTTTACGGCTCCTTCGAATGGAATATTACATAAGCAAACCGCCCCAACCATCGATCAACCAAGGGCTCATTTGTTGTCAGCTTGTCCCTCCATAATTTTACGCGAGACTTTTCGCGGTGTCCAGACCCCAAGACTTCAACTCCGGCCCTGTGAACTCGACCTGAAGGTTTGTCCTCTTCGCCTTCATCGCCATCATCACCGCATCTCTATTTCTTTGCTACATCGTCTCGCTTTCAAAATATAATAATTGCGCAGCCCGCCCTTAGTTCTCTTCTCCATAGAAAGGACTTACGGCGGCCTTGTTCCTTTATCCGCTTTTCATTGACATATCCTTTACCCCCTGTGGTTGTCTCTTCGATTCCAGCCTCTTCCGATCCCTTGCTTCCTGCGATTCCCCCTTTTGAACTCATACTCCTCTCATCGCAATGAATACCGGTGGAGAGGAACAACGGTAGGTCTCTCTTGCCACTCCTTTCCGCTTTTATGTTCCTCTAAACCATCTCTTTTCATCCCTCCTCCTCCGCCCTAAAAGATCTATCAAGTATCGGCCCCGCTATGGCGGTTAGATGGGATAGAAAGGCACAGGGTGGGCATTGTCCACCCTCGCTACCGCATACACACATATTTTTACCCCAACATACGCCCTATCACAATCAGACACCCCCTTCTTCCCATCACTTGCTTGCCGACATATTCGCACCTGCTCGAAAGGTAGAATTCTAGCGACAGAGACCAGCACTAACGCATGGCTTCCTTCCCGGTCCCAAACAGTTGGCGCCACCCACGCACACAGCAACAATCTACGCAGCAACGATCACAAGGTGGAGGCGGGCAACGTCGGAATGTCGGTGGAAACTCTGGTAGTAATGGGAGTAATGCCTGGCAAAATTCGAGTCAGCAACAGATGCCATCTGTATATGCAGAAGCTCATGTTTCTGTGAGGGAATTCAACAGTAAAGAGGTTGAGGATTTCTTGAGTCGTGGTACGTCTTTTTGTTTTGTTTATTACAAGTATAGGGGGTAGAGCTCAAGAGCGTTCGTCCCATGCTTTCCCCTTTTTTCTTTTTTTCCCTTTCCTTTTCTTTGCACCCCCTTTAGGAAAGCGCAATTCTTGGTTTGGGATTTTTGCCGTTTATATCACTTCGTCACCTTGGGATCTTTTCCAAAAGTAGCTTGGAGTCGGATACCCCCTCAATAGCATGCTACTCGCCCCCCCCTCCCTCCGTCTTGCTGCTTTGACATGATGGGTCCTTCAAATCCCCTTCACCCTATGTCAGAATTGTTACCGGAGCGGAAGATTATGTCGGACCATTTTTTGTGTTCCTCGTTGATCTGCGTAACAAAAGTTACAAGTATTGTGTTACTTGCGCGTTTCCCTACTCTTTTCTGAATCCTGTATTACATACCTTCGAAGAGAAGAGGCATGATTTCTATCATGGGACTTATCCCCATGTATTTGGGAAAGGATGGAACAAAAAGCATTCGGAGAGTCCGGAAAATGTCGTGCTCTTGCATACAGCCTGTGGCTGGCGGGTGTCTCCTTTTCCATTCTCTGTACCCCCGCAATCCAACGAGGTGTTACAGTACAGAGAAGCGTTTAACTATTGACCGAAACTTCGGAGATATCTTTCAATGATTCATTCCCCCATCTGTCTTTGCTCTGTCCGCGTGTTCTTCCAAGATCTATCGCTATGGCGAACTTTTTCCCCTTGATTTATGAATCGGGGATTCACTTGCCTTGGGCATTCGGCTAATGTCTTATACCTATATTTTAGCTTACGAGAAGGAGGTACTCGCTGCGAAACAGAGTGGCGATCAAGGTATGTTTTTTGTATCCTCGCATTAGTCGCATTCATTCTTTGTTTTTCTCCTTCAAATTTTGCCGCTATTTTACTTTACTTTGAAATCCCCCATCACTGGGCGTTTTCTGTCCTATCCCGGTGCGGAGGGGAGAAGGAGGGGAGGGAAAACGGTTTACTGCTTAGTCTAGTACACCGGTAACCGGACTTGCGGGTTCTGCGCCGTTTGGTTTTGCTCATCCCATATCAATTTACCCTTTTCCCGTCAGATTTATACTTTTTTTTTTCCATCTTTTTTTCTTTTTCATTTACTTACCGTTCAAACACCTCGTGCACTTTTATGCATGAGTGAATCCATCGGGTGGTATCCATTGGGGATGTTTTGGGGGCTAACGATTGAATGGCAACTGGTAACAGGTCAGAAGCCTATCATCTACAAATCGGACAAGGGCTGGTCCACTCCCAAGAGTAGTGGACCTTGGGGTTCGAGACGTGCGTATACCCGGCTATCGTATTTGTCTTCCTCCATGAATATACAAGTATGCTATGGGTATAGTGGGCACGGGGCTGACTTGAACTAGCAAACGCCATGGCGTCCGGTTCGAATTTTGTGAACCAGCTTAGGAGAGGCCAGGCGGGATTGCAGCAAGGCTCTAGTAAAGAGTAGAAATGTCATGACACAATGCAGTGGATGGAAAACGGTCTTGCATTTAGTGTCTGTGGGTTTGTGTGTGGGAGGGCGATTTGATGATGAAAATTAGTGGGTTGCGGGTGGTGCAAGTGTGCATGAGTGAGCAGTGTCAAACAAACTTACTTTTCATGTCTGGAGTAGCGAGCAAGCAAACAAGCAAACAATCAATCGGTTCCAAATATCATAATGATGTCTTTGTAATTTCCGTACAGTGTTTGTAAAAGTTTAGCTTGATATTTTTTGTGGGTGGAAACAAGATGGATGGCTACCGTATATAATAGATGACGAAATATTGCGGGAAACCGATGCGTTGGTGTTTTTTTCTTCTCTTTTCTTCTCTTTCTTTTTCTCACAAAATCATAATAATAATAATTATTATTATTATTATAGGGGTAATATGGTATGATAGCCCATCAGTACCCGAGCACCCGGAACGAGGGATTTGGTGAACGGGGGTACCGGTAGTTGTGTTTGGGAGTTTGATGAGCCTGTATGATACGAGTTATGATAGATATGATAGGCACGCTCGCTAAGCTAGATAGATAAATATCATACCGGTATGATACTTGCACAGTATCTATATTATTATGCCATCCAGATCAATCGGTTTTTACCCGTAGTAACCAAATCGGGGCACGGGAATCTCAACGGCTTGGTTTGCTTTCATCGCGGGTTATCATATCATACATAATAATATAATGTTATGATCCCCAATGTCAAGTTATCATAATATCATCATACTCTTCTCCCATTTATTCCTCCAGATGCTTCACGTCATGTAATAATACGATGATAGCTATCACGGAGTACAGTAGCACCTACCTGCCTACCTACCCATCTACAGTACTGTACTGTACCCGTACTCCACGCCGGTGTCCGTCCATAAAAAAGAATAAAAAATAAAAAATAAAAAAACGATCGGAAAACATGAACCCTTGTCTTTACAGATTTGTGTGAGTGTGGCATCAACAAGGTGTGTAGCTTCCCGTTTTTTTTAATTTTTTTATTATTTTTTATTGACACAATGACACCCGTGTACGAATGTACAGTACTTGTACCTGCGGTATATAATACTGCAATAACCCGGTGTATGATAAAAGGGCCCGGATATAACCTGCGCAGTCCTCCTCATTCATGAGAGTCAATGATCCGAGAGGGAAAGCACAATAGCTTGTGAACGGAAGGAGGGGTTGGTTTTTCCTCACAATGGCTTCAAAAAAAAAAAAAAAAAAAAAAAAAAGGGCTAGGTATTCATACAGCACACGGTACGCTACCGTGCCGTACCGTACCGCAGTGCATTTTTCTTCTTCTTTCTCTCGCGCGGACAAACAATGGGAACGTAAATAGAATAGAATAGAATAACATCCACGACCAAGCAGGTACTGTACATACAAGTATGTTGTGGTAATTAATGAGAGAGGTGCTGTAGCGGAACTGCGCGGTTAAAGTGCTTTACCGTACCGGTATGTATGATACCAGCACAGCACAGCATAGCATAGTGTTGTTATGTAGTCCTTGTGTGTGTACCATAAGTTAGCTAACTACGATGGATAGCATAATGTGCGTTTTCCGGGAAAATCTAATTCCGATTCTCACTTAACTTTTCCACAGGTATTAAAAGTATATACGATACGTTTGTTTGCTTGAAAACTTTTTTTTATTTTTTTATTTTTATTTTAAACCCTTTCTCAGTAGTTAGTTCATGGTGGGGTTTTACATTCCGGTCTCGGGAACCGTAAGAAATAATTTTTTTTCTGGATTGGGTCGAGTAGGGGGGGGGGGCTTGGTGGAAAGCGGTTTAGTTTTTTTTGTCCAAGTTTGGTCGCTCCATGGTAGGGGTTTTTTTTTTTTTTTGTCAAGCGAAAAGAGGGGAGAAGGGGAAAGTTGCTAGTACTGTTATGGTGGTGGTGGTGGTACAGGTTTGTCGGCCAGTTCGGTTGGGCTGAGTTATGCATGCGACAGGAGCTCTGCATTGTATCATACTCGGGTACTCGAGTTAGTAGTGATGGGGTTGGCTGGCTTTTTTGCCTACTGTGGAATTTGGGAAATTGGATGGAAAGACATTGGGGTGGTGGTGGTGGTGGGTCCTTGATAAGATGGAAGAAAAGTATTTTTGACCGCATGGTTTGTATTTATTGGTACGTACGGTACTGTACAGTAGGTAGGTAGGTAGGTAGGTAAGTATCATTGGTGGGTACAACAAAGTACGGTGGTATCCATCATGAGTTGTGCCACGGGTACGGTTGAGTGATTTGGGGGTTTTATTATTTATTTGTTCATTTATTAGTTGGGGGATTTGCCGTTTAGTTCAGTCAGCCAGTCAAGCTCAGCACCGGCACCCGTGGACATGCGAACAAGATAAATTGGTGGTGGTGGTGGTGGTGGTGAATTGTGGAGAAATATTCCTCCACAATCACTATGCCTTACGATATTGTATCATACTCTAGCAAACAAGCTGATGGTTCAGCCATATGCACTTCCCTCTCTCTTCCCTCTCTCTCCAATCCTGATCGTTCCCCCCCTCCCGGGATCAAGTACCGATACATGCGAGTAACCGATAAAAAAAAATAACCCCCTTCCAGGAATCCACCTCACCAGAACCACAACCATCAGTAACAGTCTCTCGCACCCCACCCAGGCCTCCCTGTTTCCCGATTAGATACGTACAAACTGCCAAGGTCACCAAGTCAGTCAGTCACAATGTCTCATGAAGAGAAGAAGTGGGAAGGAAAATTAAATTTAAACCTATGATATTATGATGTGCGAGTATATGATGTATGATGCATGTATCATAGTGTTTCCTCCTCCTTCCTCCCTTTCCAGTTGTATCCTCGAGTCATTGGCCTATTGGATTCACCATACTCGAGTGCCTCAAAGTTACTTGTAGAAAGTATTAATAGCAACTTCCCCCCCCCCCCTTCCCCATCTTCGGAACCCATCCATTCAGCATTTACCTCAGGCGAGTGCCACCACTACCACCACCACCACCACAAGCCCGAACCAGCCCAGCCCGCCCAGCCCGCCAATAAAGGAAAGAAAAATAGGGAATAATAAAAAAAAAAAAAGGGAAAGAAAAAAAAAAAAGGAGCGAATAGGCTAATCTGCATACATATCCCGGTAACACGAAAAGACGCCGTCGGTGGGATGCGGTCGGTCGACGGATCGGCAGTTCCTTTTCCCTTTTTTTTTTCTTTTTTTTTCTCCTTTCTTTTTTCTTTCCTCTTCTGTATACTTGTACTCTATTGTGCTGTACTCGTACCTACTCGAGTCACCGGTACCGGTACTTTGATGTGCGCTGTGCTGTGCTGTGCTGTGCTGTGCTAGAAGTAAACTTGTCACGGTACCGGTAACTCGTCCTTTGTACCTGTCTGTACTTGTACCTGTATTAATAGGTTTTGTGGAACCTTTCCCTTTCTTTCTTCTTTTTTTTTTTTTTACCTCTTTCGTGGATTTGGGGTTATGGAAGGTACCGGTGGAAACCGGCACCGGTAGATTGGTTGGGGTCGCGTATGTATATATATATATACTGAGTATGTATCATACACTCACCTGTTGAGCTGGTGCGAATGTCGAGTGAGGAGTTGTGATGAGGGTTTATGTTTTTTTTTTTTTTTTTTTTACTGCTAGTAGGTGGGTATGATATCTTGCAATACGTGATGGCTTGAGTTTGTGTTCGTTTGTGTTTCTGTTTTGGCTTGTTCTTGGCTTGTCTCGGTTTTCGGTTTTCGGTTTGCTCGGTTTCTCCCTTGACTGACTTGACTTGATGGAATGGATGTGCGGAGGGTTTTTCCGGCTTTTGCCCATCCTTTCTTGCCATTCATGGCGGCGTAACTTTCCTTCCTGTCTTGCCTTGGGCGGAAGCTGGTGGGGGTGTAATGTTAATCCACCCCCCCTCCCCTCCCCTCATCACCTGGATTAAAACATTTCTTGTATCTCTCTCTATCTCCCTTCCGCCAATCGAAAAAAGGTCGGAATTGATTTACCGGTATGATATAAATTTTTTTTTTTTTTTTTTTTTTTTGGAAATCCCGCTATTGGGGATTGTATGAGAAATTGTGGAGAGAGGGGGGGCGTTTTCACCCACCGTTTTTTTATTTTAAACTCTCCTTGTCCTCATCTACAACTCGACACCATGAGCTACGGCGGGTGGGTGGGTGATGGCCTGTGTACGAACGAACGAGTATGGATGATAACCGCGGAGCTAGCAGATGGATATCTCGCTGCAGGCAGGTAAGCACCCGGACGGAAAGGGGAGGGTAAGATGAGCTAGCTGTGGTAGGTAAGGCGGGTGGGCGGTGGTGGTGGTGGTGGGGAATTCTTTTCTCTTTTATTTAAAATTTAAAATTTAATTTTATTAAATTTTTACTTTTCTCTGAGTGGGAAGGATGACTACTGGAAGGGGGATGAATGGGATCGAAGGATTTCTTCCTTGTCCTTTTTCTTCTTCTTCCTTTCTCACAATGTTTTCCTCCGAGTGTGGATGTGGTAGTGGGGAGTTGATAAACCATGGGGTATCTTCCCTCTTAACAGGGGAGAAGAAAAAAAGGTATCGATACGGCAATTCCTTTGGGGGGTTTTTTTTTTCGTGATGTGTAGCGTTCCTACCCTATCGAATCCGTATGTATCGCCTCTCCCAAAAGTACGACTAACTAAGATGGGAAAAAGTGGAAACGAAAAAGGCCATGATTTTCTGGTCTAATGAGTTTTTTTTTTTTTAATTTCATTTTTTCACACCTTTTCTAGAGAAAATGGTTTAACTCATGAATGACATAAATCCATCCACCCCCCCGAAAAAAACCCATTTCCCCACGAACCCACCTCTTATCCAATACACTTTGGTCTGTATGTCTCATCACGCAGACCGTTTTATCAGCCTATCCCAGAGTGAAAAATAAAAGCAAGTTAGAGGTCTCGCAGCAATTTAGAGGTCTGTCACAACACACCAAGCACCCACACGTAAGGACTCTTCGCCAGGATAGGTAGGAGATTAATAAGGGAGTGGGGTTGAGAAATCGTGAAAATCGAACGAATGATTGACGGTGATATTTCCCTCCCCCCCCTCCTCCCTTCCCTTTTTCCTTTTCCCACTCTCTTGAATTCTGTCTTGGGTGTGGATGGATGGATGGATGTGTGTGTGTGTCAGGTGGTGGTGGTAACGGTAGTGGTGTGTATGGCGGATGA